GAATTTGTTTTCATCTAGGATCAATGGCCCCAACCAAACATCATTCAATGTCATCCCCACCAGCGGCGTCTGGTCTTCAGCAAAAAGTGGGATTTCTACTTGGGCATCTCCTCGTGGTTTCCACCCTGCATTAGCGTTGGAGCGAATGTCAAACAGGAATCTTAGCAGGTCAAGCAATGGGACACCTTCTTGGACCCGAAACGTCAAATGCTCTTGATGCTGCGGGATGTGCAATGTGCCAAGTGGATACTCAGTCGGTCCCCAAGGCGCTGTGGAGGAAACTTGCAATCGTTCAATGAGAACATGTGTATCCGCCATAACGAGGGAAGCCTGTACGTTGTGATTGAACAGTCGTTCCTGCAGGGCATCTTGGAGAATCCAGAGAGGGATCTGGTTCCATGTAACGGTGACGCGTTGTGCAAGTCCATTGGTGAGACACAGCAGTGCATGGGGTATGGCAATGGCGTTACCTAGTAGCCTGTAGGTGATATGTGCATCCGCTGGCAAGTAGCATGAGTGGCAGCAGCCAAAAAGCATGAGCAGTTCTGGTATTGATAGCCGCCGGAGGACTCCAGCGCTCAGAATGAACGAGCCAATCAGACCACCATCTAACAATGTTCTATCTGGGAGGTCATGCGACCGTACATAGTTGGCCATTACGCATGGATGAACATCCCTGCTGGTTTTAATGCGACACCTGCGCACTTCATGGTCTGTGAGGCCTGTTCCTTTAGGAAGATACCTACGTTGGAAGTATTGTTCCAAGAGCCATGATGGGATGTTGGGCGTCAGGCTGTGCATATGATCTTCTGGCGGCTGTGCAAGTGTGGGTGGACCGTCAACTTCTTCCCAAGTTCGACACATGACATCTGAGACTCTGGGGTCATCAATGCGATTTGCTACCATAAGTAGTCGGTTGCGAGATTGCGGGAGAACCTCTTGAAGGTGAACGTTCTTATGCCAAGTCAAGTGACTCGATATCCACTCCAGTGTAAAAATGCCTGTACCCATGGGAAGTGTTTGACGCTACCTCCTCCAAACATATGATGGCAGGATTCAAGAAGTGGCATTGAACCAACATCTGAAGGATTAGGCGGCCATCAGCGGTTTCAAGGCCGAGTTCACTTCCTGCACGGCTCCAGGGCTGGCATGGTGGGGAAACTGTGAGGATATCGATGCTTTGGACAATGGCATGCCACCAGGCGTGCTCAATGTTGGCCAAAAATGTGAGGTGATCGGTAGGTGGTTTCCCATCAACACCTAGCGAAATGGCTTGAGCAGCCGATGTGATGGCTGCATAACGGGAGTGATTATGTGCATGATTTTTTTGCAGCAATGGCGTCATGTTCAATGGCAAATATGGATTTCACAGGGATGTGTGCGTCAACGAGGCTTCGAAGGGCAAAGGCCCAGCCTGAGAACCCACCTGCGAAAAACTCACCGACGTGTATGGACGTCTCACTGGTAGTCTTGGGAGTATGTATCGGTGAGATCCCAGATTGCGGTGCTCTGATGTCAACAATGAATTTACCATCGAACTGTAGCAGTTTGGCTTCTACTACATGAACTTGCATATCCGGGCCAAGCAATGACCATATCTCATGTGGGATTGCAATATGTAGAAACCGAATCTGTTCATGAGCACAAGCAGGCCAAGCTACCGACAATGGGCCAATCTTGGATGCCAAGGTCCTGGCAGGACGGTCAATCTTGCATGTGACTAGGGCCGTGCCATACCAGTCTTGCATGTACTGTTTAAACCCTCTTACCTTGCAACTACACACATATTCTACTGGCACATGGACCTTAACAAAGTCAGAAATGCTAGACCTCGCTTGCTCAGACAGACTTGGCAAAGACATCCCTGAGAACCACGGCGGATCAAAACCCCCTCCCACGTGATGTCTGACAATTGGTGATTGACGAACCAGGTGTTCTATGTGCAAAACTCGAGTCACAAATGCAAAGGCCACTAGATCTGTGTCATCAGTAGCCGTCTGCCATGCCTGCGTAGCATGTCTGATAACATATTCAATCATGTCATGCCAACGACAGGTTTGCAGCGAATGAAACACATGTTGACAAGTTGGGAGAGCACGAACTCCGCGGTGCCTGGCAACATCTAGTAGCATGCGAAAGCCACACATTCTCCATGGGCAGGGGTAAGACTGTTGTGTTGCACGAAAGAGTCTCACTGGGTATCGGAGAAAGACTGACAGGGCATGGATGAAGCTTGTAAACTCCTCAGGGTCATGGCTAGGAAATCCGAGAACCTCGATCCAAAGGAGATGGTTGTGCAATTCAGCAGAGACCACGAACCAGTGCTCATGACCTAGCATAAACAGCTTCATGAGAGGTTGAATGGCCATGGTGCCTTGTTCTTTAACAATTGTACGAATTACGCCAAGCTGATGTTCCCAGTGACATGTCGGGCAGAACCTACAAAGGCCAACAAACGGCTGCAGGACAGTGGTCATGAGATCCAGTTCATCTGATGCTGCCATGTCTGGGTGTATACAGTATTCTTGAAGTCTTGTGTGTACCTCCTGCTCTTCTGCATGGTCTTGATTGACGGATGGCATTGGGACAGCTCCAAATGTGACCTGAGTTTGGGTATCTCTGGTGTAAACTTCTACTCTGTGTTGTTGCGGGTCATCGTCTTGTTCAACTTGCGGTTGCTCAGGATCAACTTGTGGTTGTGGTGCTTGTAGCTGCGGTACAGCTTCAAAGACAGACAAGGGGTGACCTGCTGCGCAGATTGCGATTGCGTCTAGCCTTGTGTAGACCCCTGTATTGAACTGAAAAAGATGGACCAAAAAGGCTAATCTGACTGTGTAGGCGACCTGCTGCAGCTCGGCTTCGGCTTGTGTTCGACCCCAGGATTCGATGGCATGACTCAGAACTCGATGTATGATACGCTTACGATCATCTGAGAGCATATGAAGCTCATGCATAACGTTTTGAAACACGTTTTGTGAATGAGTCAAGTTCATCCATCGCCACACCAATGTCCAGCCTGACATGTGAGGTACGACCATCCTCAATCGATGGGGTGGGATTTGGATAAGATGACAAACAAACATTTCAAGACGAGCTGCAATGGCGTCGATGCCTGAAGCAAGGTGATCTCTGGCGTATCGTGTTGTTGATCCACCTCCACTCCAACCCAATGGGCTCCATATAGGATGGGTAGCAAGCTGACACCACGATTCGGAATCTGTGGGAATTCGCCTTCAAATGAGAATTCATCAGCGGCTGGTGAGTAGTGAGCTACCGGAAGAAAATGATATGGTGAATTTGGTTTGCGACACCTACCCATAACAAATGCTCATTCATCTGTTGACAGCCATCCTTCGGTGGTTGTTGCAAAACTGAGGCGCTCACCTAATGTTGCATGCGGCTTCAAATATCCCCGCTGCAACTACTGGATATGCACCCTGGGAGAATTCTTCAAGACATCCAGGTCCAAGGGCAAACTCTTTGCGCAAATGGCTCCCAGCACACTGCGAAACAGATGGGTATGGGCGCTCCATGGCAACATCAAACCTAGGCTCTACCGAGCCGGTGGCAAAATGGCTGCGGGAAGGCATCGGGACGGCCTGTGCGAACGGTTCATTGTGCCCTGTTCCATCGTTTCCATCACGTGGGGACGGTTCGTTTTGCCCTGTCCCATCTTTTTGTTCGGTATGGCCAACCTGTCCCGATGCTGGGGGTGGTTCATTCTGTATCCCTACCCCGTCTTGTTCTTTCTTGATCTTTTCTTATTCTCCAATGGGAATCGAGTGGCACCACAGGCAGAGCGAGAGCATCTATCAGGTTGTACTGCGTCAGATCTCTGTGCAGTACCTGCTGACTGCATGTCATTATCTTGCCTATATTGCCTAAAATGACACATCTTGCCAGCTCCTCTACTTAGCCACTGACACATCGATTGTCTGCGCCAGGGAGAGAGTATGTTTGTATCTTCCCATGTCTGGAACTGCTGTGCTCGGCAGAGTTTGCGGAAGTAGTCAATTGAGCTACCATTGAGCCAACTGTACATGATCCAAGCACACAGAGCCACATAGTCTCCCAAAAGTGGCTCACGTAGCATGGTTTCTTCCTGACACAAGCACAGCTGCAAGGCAGGTGAGGATGATCAACTCCTCAGCATGGTAAGGTGTACTGTGATCTGATGCTTCCAGGTCGGGAGCAATATCCTGTGACTCTGATGTCCACACCGGAACATACATCATATTACACCCTTTCCGGAGTCCAGCGATGTACCACGTAGCAGGTGCCTCCAACAAGCATTTTGGTAGGTATCAGGACTGATCTTCGCCAACTGCGTGTATGATCTCCTTCTGCCATTAATCTCAAGGATTACGAAATCCCGACATTCCTGCAGAACTGTCCATGAGTGCACCTGCAGGACCGAGACATGCCGACTGCGCAACAAATGCTCGCTGGAAACGTGGTTGCGTGCAGGTAAAATCGGGATATCAACAAAGGCATTACATGGCTTTGCCCACATCGGCATCCACCGTGTCAAAAGAACACGGTAGACGACAGCCGCGCCGCGGGAAGGCTTGAGCAAAGCGGCTTCCCTTGGTGGATAGTAGCGATACGGCCCAGTGAGGAGGTCTTAACAGCACCCAATATCTTTACGTGAGTGACCTCCATCTTGGACCACCAGCCGCTGCAAGAAAAATATGGTCCTTGCCTATCAGGTCCTATATCAAAGCAGGGGGTTCAATGGGCTCTGGGTAGCAACTACTTCTGCGAATCTTTGGTTGATGTGTTTGGTTTTCGGCGCACGGCTCCTGTGACTCATAGGACGCATCAGCGTCCCGCCCCGCCCGACATCCCTAGAAAAAGTGGATCACCTGCAAAGCCTTTGTTGGGGAGTGTTTTTCCTGGCCTAAGCAAGAACGAATTCGGTGGGAACGAGGGTCACCTGCACCTGCAAGACTCGCCGGTGATTTTTGTTTTCAACTGCAATGCCTCCGGCGCCATCCGAGGTTCTTGGTCTACATCCTGTGTACTCCCAGCACGTTATCGCTCAACGATTCAGCCACTGGTCCATGCATTCGTGGCGCTTTCTTTTCCGGCGCGGTGGACGGTGGAATGGCGCCTGGAAGGAGCGTGTGTTTGGTTGGGGGTTCATCGATGGCGATCTCACTGTAACCAACATAGTCCTCAAGTTCGATAGGGGAAGTGTTTCTGGACAACTTCACGCGAGTGTTCCGATGGTGTTCCACCGCCCGAACCACTGCAGATTCCGGCCAACAGGATCCGCAAACTCTGGACGATGCTGGCATACCTGGACCTGCCAACCGTGCAAGATGGTGGCCTTTTCGATCCTTTTCATCTCTAAAGCCAGCCAAGTTCAGCAGATCTTTTGTAGGTATGCTATGGCATGCTAGCATGGCTATGGCCAGTGCCATGGCCATGGGAGTACAACTTACGGGTCCTGTTGAGGTGGAACTGTTTCTCCTCGGTGGAACTAGTGGTTGCTAAGTAGTGAAACCTACTGACTTACTCCAGCATTTCTTACTTGGCAACTGTGGCTCCAGGCCCAACCAGTCCTGTTGAAGTTAATTATGTAGTACAGATGGGTTGAAAACTGTGGCTGCGCCATGCTGCGCCGCTCGGGTTCATGCAGCCTTCCTGTTGAAGTCCCCCAAACCAATCTATAATGCCCCAAATCCCTTCTCAGCAGATACCTGAGACATCCCATTCGACCCTCCAAACCCGAACAAGTCTCAAGAGGTAGCTCTGGAGCCCTGGTGAATGCGTGTCCCACATTTTTCCATCAAACTCTTGAAGACGACGAAGTCGGCTCGCAACACTGCAAGCTGTGCAGTTGACGACCATGAAGTTCATCATTTGTAGTCGCTATGTGCCTCAGTTAAAATGTGCGCGGAAGATGGATCATGCGAGATTCCGCCCCCTCTGGCCCCCGACCACAAACCCTGCACATCCAATGCAAGAACATGAATATTCCAACAGAGGTTGAAGGACTCTATAGACTATCCCATAGGTACCCCAGTAGGGTCCTGTAGGGTCACTTGACCCCTCATGGTTCTCCATATCTTCTTCGTGAACTTAGGGGGCAACGGGCTCTTTTTACTGATCCATATTCCATCAACGGGGCGGGGCTGTATGACGTCCTGGAAGGGTCGGTATAAGTCTTAAGTTGTTGTCCTAATACCTGTAACAGTTGGTAAACAACAATTATCACAATTTAGAGAATGGCCTTTACTCACCATCATCCACTGTTACTGGATTCATGTTGCTGGTAATGGGGCAGACCATGATAGACCCAAGGTATATATACTGTACCTGAAGCTCGGCACCGCACTGTTTCATCTATATATCCCGCCGTAAACGGGCTCCTGGCCCCCCCGTCCGTTTCGATGGCGGGCCAGGGGTGGGAAGATCTGAAAATCGAATACCGAACCGGAGGACTTGGGCCAGGAGCCCCATGCAGGGTATATGTGAACAGTGACAGGAAGCCTTACACTCCCGAGTCAACTAACATAGACCCTGACTGTCGCCTGGTGCCTGGAAGAGTCTGTTCCTGTACCAACCAGTGGTTTTCAGGGTCCATGGGGATCGTCTTCCAGGGTCCATGCCTATAGGTCCAAAGGTCGGCTAGAGGTCGTTCCTTTGCCGATCTCGGAGATTCATCGAAGGAAGGGATGAATGAGGTTCTCAGTGGTCCAAAAACCGGGATGAGCTTCACCAGGTGGGCGATTTGGATCCTTCATTTTGCCGGGCTTTGAGGCAAAATGGCCGTGCCAAGAGATGAGTGGGGCAAACTTCTCCTAGTCCGGGGTGGGGGGGTAGTCCGAGACTTCACGGACATCACCAAGATCATGACCGTCTCCGACGGTGCTACCCAGGTCAGACTCCGAATTGGTTCGAAACCGGATACTGTGGCAGGTGCTTTTCCCACCCACGTCTTCCACCGCAGGTGATGACGGTGGTCTTCATGGACACCAAGCCTCTTGGCGCCACACCGCTGGGGACACATGACGCGACGCAAGAGTCGAGCGTTGAGAAACTCGGAGTCCCATGGTGACATGTGTGCTCTCCGATGTCAGCTGAACATGTGCAGCTGATGAGATGCTGGATCAGAACATAGGGCTGTACTATAGGACAGGGCATCCTTGTTGCATTGGCTCAGCTTTCACGGCCAATTGCCCAAGAACCAGCTTACCTCTTCATCACTTACGTTCAGAAGCTTGCTCTTTGTCTTTCACATGCACCACAGCAGCCCCCCCAGCGGGGGGGTATAAGCCTCCCACCGGACTTCCGAACCTCCGGGACGTCCCATCTCGTCCATGCGAGTCGTCCGCGTGCGGAGCCGCGTTTTTGTCCGCGGGAGCCGCACGCCGAGGGTGAGCGGGGTGTTTCAGTCCTTGGCCTCCTTGGCCGTGATCTACGTGGAGGGATCCGTGGATGGTCGGAGCGTGGTTCAAGCCTTGCCACTCGGAGTTCGGAGCTCGGATTGAGTTCGGAAGAGTTCGCAGGTCATGGAGTTCTGAGGCGCCAGTGAGGAAGATGGCAGTTGAGTGCCAAGAGTCATGCCAGGCCATGTGGTTTCAAGCTGGCACTTAAGTTGGTTTCCTGGTGGGGTGTTGAAGTCCAGGAATACCCAAATGGGAAGGAAAGGACGAGAAAGGGAAGGAGTCAAGGGTGCTAGAAACCTTTGGAACACTCATCAAGAAGGTGAGGTGCAAGGCGTCACTTGTCCAATTGTGAAGACGGTTCCTGGATTTTCAGCGCTCTCAGTCAACCAATGTTGACCAGTGACATCCGTCGGAAGTCTTCAAAGCCTGCAAGTGTTCGATCAGTCAAGAACTCCCCGAACGACCAGCTGGTCATTCAGACCTTCTATCACTTGGCAATTTCATGCACGCTTTCCTGCATGTGTGTGTGTGTGTGTGTGTGTGTTTGTTCTTTTTTGACTGTTTATGCTGTGTCATACTGTGGGCAGGGCATCGAATCCCACGAAAGTTACTGCCACAAACTTGTGAGATAGACATTTGACAGCTCTTCCATTGGTTGTTTGTGGGGCGTCCGCGCCACACAAATTATTGCTCGGTCTTATTTATTGTTGCTTTCCCGGACATGCCATTTCGTTGGGTATTGGGTATCGTGTATCGTCCTACTTGCCAAGCTATGACAGATATGAAAGATTGAGATTCAGCATGGGTAAAAATAGAATCGCCTCTCCGCAGACGTGGGCTTTCTATCAACCACTGGTTGAAAAAAGGCATCTAAAGCTCCTGCCAACCCGAAGATCGAAATGACGAGCCGGTGGCCGTTGCCCAGGCAAGATGAGTGTCAGTTCCTTGGGCCTTCGATGAGTGTCGGTTCGTCCCGTTTGGGCCGCGCAGAAAAGCGCATGTTCTCGGGACTCGGTTTCGGAATTTGATCCTGAACGGCCATCGGAGTTGATGGTCTTTTATGGGGACTGAAGTCGAAGCCAATCCGCTGGGCGGATCCGCTCCTCGTTTTCAAAGGACAGGACAGCTCTATGATGCTCTATGCGTTTCTCTGGAAAGGGCTTTGAGGGTTCCAACCGCCGAGCGGAAGGTCTACGGAAAAGACTCAAAGGAAAAATGACTAGAGGACCTGTTTCGGGGAGCTTCCTTTACAAGCACTATAACCCATACGCGACCTGTTTGGGACTGCCATAGGACTGCCGATCAAGCCACCTGGCACCAGCCCTGGCCTGATCGGCATATATGGCAGTCCCATGGAGCGTTTGGGTAAGGAAAATATAGGTTAAAAGTATACCCAGACACTCCATGTCTGTCATATGGGGTGGTTTTGGGGGTCAATAATAGAATTGGGAACCATGATAACTCCATTGGCCGGCCAAGCTGACGACTCCATGTGCCGGCAGTCCTGTTCCGAGGATCCTTCTCTCGATCATCACCATCTCCATGTCCCTGGAGTATTTTATTCAAAAGCGCATCGAGGTGCGGGCTGGCGGTGTCACTGAGTTAGGAAGACTGCAGGACCAACACCCAGAAAAATGCCATGAGATCACCAAGAGAGGTTAATCATAGTGGCTAGGATTGGGGTGTGTAAGAAAGCTATGAGTTAAGTGACCTGAACTAGGACCGTAACCTGGGGTACCCAACTGGGAGCACGCTCGCCGCGTCCTTCCACCTCTGTCGGTCCTTCGGGTTCAACCCCTCCAGTCGCTACCGTGCTCGCCGGAGTGGATGAATAGAAGGAGTCACACTCATGGGGGCAAGTCGTATATATATATATATATATCATACACTCCGGACTGCCGATCAAGCCAGACCCCCCTGGCACCACCCCTGGCCGTTTCTCGGAAGTCCTATGGCGTCCCAGACAGGTCGCGTCTGGGGTATGTTTGGTAATGCCTGCGTCGGACTAAAAAACCCCTCTTCAAGGTCAGCAACGTCAAGAAGGTTTGAGATTATGCTTGGTGTAGGCCTTTGGCAACAGTCTATGTGTTCATTGAATGTTGGAGATGAAGCCTTATCCGCACAGGGTGGTTGTTGGTTACATCTCAGTAAACCCACCCCTTGCCCTTGGCAGCAGAGGTCAACGTCCCTCGTTGGAGGTCCACGTCCCTTCAGATGAACAAAGTGTTCAATCGATTCAGACCTTCTGGAAGGTGATGTTGTTGCAGTAATGTTACTTTTCTTACAACCATCGGGAACGTGTTCTTAAAGGTTCTCCAAACACTTGTGGCTGTTTCACAGCTGGGTTTGACCTCCAGCCTCTATGCCAACTAGTCAAAAACCGGTCCAGCCGATCGGAGGCGCTTCTGGAGACTGCGGATGCTGAGTCCATGCACCTGGGACCACCCGATTCGGGTGGGAATCGATTCGCTCTGGAGCGGAGTATGCAGTGAGTATCGGCGTCGTCGAACATGCTGTCCGGGTACGACATCGGCCTCGGTCGACTGAACTCATGGTTTTCCGAGTCGACTCGTCCTTTCGTCGAGGTCAACTCGGGGTCGACTCCACGTGAATCACTCCATTGAGAGCATGAAACTCACAGAGAGGAGAGGGAGAGGAGGGGGATGAAGCAGTTCCACCATTAGAGATGTAATGAGATGTAGAGTTTTCTTTTTTTGTGACCTTATCCAGACCCTACTCTTTACCTCTGGGATACTCAGCTTTGTCGGTTTCTGAACTCTTAGTTGGATGTTCCACCCCAGTTCTTTGTGAAGATCCACGTGACCTCAGGCTGAGCAGCTTCCGACGGATGTTGAGAGGCCTTTGCCGCTTGGAGCGAGTCAGTCTACTTGCGCGAGCGGCCAGCGACCCGTGGGTCGTGGGGGGAAGTGGCTCCTCGGGGGCCGTACTGATCCACCTGTTTTGGCTGAGACAGGGTCAGTCCTGGGAAAATATCCGAAAATGCTGACCCTGGGTTTCAGTGCAACCGGGTATGATTTGCTCCTCGCATCCAAATATCCGAATAAGCCTTCCGCCCGGACCCTCCAAGGTTCGGCTGTTGTGAGACCCGACCACAGGTGGTTATCCTGGCACCTGTTGTCACCAGGAAGCACCTGTTGGAGGGTCCAGCCATGGGATTGGAATGATTTGATCTATAGCCAGGACCTCCTGACTCGGAAGGTCCTGCATGGTAGGCATACATTGACCCCTGAGGTTTCACAAGCACGCCATGTAGGTATATACCCTGCAATCCGTGGAGTGTTTGGGGCATTTGTATGTTGAAAACATGTCCTTTTTGTTCGATATGGTTGGGTGGTGAGGCTTATGAAAAGGACCATGCCATCCACATTCAGGTTCCTTTTTTGTGACACGCGACCTCCATCAACGGCCAAGCCTCGAACGAGACCTGGCAGTTCTTGGATCCTGGCGGTTCTTGCCCCCGATTCGGCCAAGGTGATGGCGCTCTCTTGTTGGATAGTGGCCTGCGGGTGCAGGGCAGTCGCTTGGCGCAACTATGCGCAACTGCTTGGAGCGAGCAACAGCTTAGAGCTACCGGGCCCTGGGGATTCAAACTCTTGGAGCAGCAAGACTAAACAACTATCACTATGGCATACTATGGCTCCAACCACCTCCTGAGAAGATCACCAGCGAAGCTGCTGTTCTATCTGAGTCGATGCTGCCTGGAGGGTGGACCAAATTTGCAAGCTGAACGTATATGGGCAGTACCAGCAAGGTGTAGTGACCCTCATAAGAGTACACCGCTAGGTGTCAGCTGGTTTTTTTCAGAGTTGCAGACCTGCAGATTCCTCACGATCCGGACATATCCGGACCGGATTGGAGCATGGCATCACCGTAAAATGGATGTATTCCGATTCAACATCTCAGGACCCTCCAAGGTTCGGCTGTTTGGAGACCCGACTACAGGTGGTTATCCTGGCACCTGTTGTCACCAGGAAGCACCTCTTAAAGGGACGGAACAACCGAAGACGACGCGCGGGGGGTGCGACGGACTCTTGAGGACTTAGAGGTCCACGCCGCGGAAAACCGCTGCCGAGGCCCTGCATGCTTAAAGCATTTGCTGATGACCACGACGAACTTGCCCCTCAGCGACGAAACATCTGCAGGAAAAAGGTTGGGTTAAGCCCAGGGGGCGGAACGACGAGGTCAGGAACGAGTCCCGAAAGCCGATGGCCTTTCCCAGACACTGCATGGGACTGCCATATATGCCGATCAATTGACCCCCAAAACCACCCCAATGTAGGCATATGGCAGGCCCATGGAGTGTCTGGGTTTCAGAGTCTTTCAGAGTTTGCGAAAACGGACAGATCTGTTTTGGTGAGGAAACGGTTTTGGTGCAAACCGTCTGAGGGACTTGTGCGCCCCAAAAGACCCACACACACACACACACACTCCAGATGCGACTGGAATGTCATGGATAGTACGTGATATATATATATAGGATTATATAATCTATAGGTGCTGTTTGTTTTCAGTGTGTCAGTGGGTTGATAAATGTTGATAATCTATCACAATAGAATAGATCTATATATAATCCCATGGTTCGGTCGGGCCCTTCATAGCAGGGGTCCAGACCCGGAAAGCCCTTCTCGTTTGAAGCCCCGGATTCTTAGGGTATTATTTAGATCCTATAAAATCACTATACCTGGACCACCCATTCGTACAAAAAAACATGCTCAATGGGTTGTTTGATACACTTTTTGGGGTGCGAGCGTTTTTCTATTAGAAAGATGTTCTCGAGCACCATTTTTTTGGTCGAGCACTTTTCTTGGTTACTGGATGGTTTTGCAGATGTTTGTTGTGAAGACTTCAATAAATCCAAATCTCCCGGACTTTGTGCATTTTTGCACTCGCATGCAGCCATTTGGCATATAGATGGATGGGCACTGGAAAATGAAGGAACAGGAAGGCGGGATGTGCAAACGTGGCAGACTGGTTGATCAATAAAACAGTTGTCACACCCTGCAGACTCGTGGCAGCAAACTATGGCGGAGTTTGCAAAGGAGCTGCGTTCAAGTCAGGCTGATCCGCATTTGGTGGATCAATACAACTCTTTGCAAAAACGGTGATTTGCATTATGTGACTGAGTCTGTTGCCCGCGCGGGATCCGCAAAACGAGCGCAAAAAATCCGCAAAACGAGCGCAAAAAAGCGCAAACGAGCGCAATTTGAAAAACTTGTTGTTTCCACTTGTGTTTTTTTGCGGTTTGGAACACTTTCAGGATGATTGCATGTCAGCTACCCTTTTGAACTCAAACCTTAAGGGCTGCTGGGATGTCAAAGGAAAGCCTAGACCTTGGACTCTTGAAGATTCGGACCATTCAGCGGTGCTTAGGAGAGTATCGCAGACAGTGGGCGCGCAAAGGATGGATCAAACGCAAGAGATAAAAATAGAGTCAAACCTAATTAACTTGTGCAGAAGGTGCTGCTCGGGTGGTTACGGTGCAGGGCATGTGTGCATGGACTTGAATGCAATGCATTGTCTAGGAGACATGCTCGAGCACTTTTTGAGTGCAAAAAACAAACGAACAAAAAGGACTATGAAGGCTCCAATTCGAGCGCAAAAAGCTCGAGCACTTTTTCTTGGCTGTTTGGGGGCTACAGGATTGTTATATTACTATTCATTGGTCACAATAATAGATCCACAATTCCAGGAGGCACAAAGGGGTGGTGTTTAGTCCCATCCAGTGAGTGGAGTAGCTGGGCACCCCTATCCTCCAAGTTCGGCACCCCTTTGTGTTACAGTCTACAGTCCCACGGTCCCACTTCCCCGGACGACCCGGTCCGGTGGCCTCCAAATCCTCCGCCGGTTTCAGGAATGGCAAGGATTTTCGAAGCTTCATCCCGGAGGATGAACAGCAAGCGTTTCAACACTTCCTCGATGCCTCAGCGGAGAATCACCAAAGCAGCCCCTTGACCGACGTCGGTACGTAGATACTCACCCAGCAGTCACAAAGGTTAGGAGTGCCCAGCTACTCCACTCACTGGATGGGACTAAACGCCACTCCTTTGTGACTCCTATATAGGGCCAATTTGGGGTGACTGTCCTAAGGACAGGAGGAGGATCCTTTTGTGGGGGGGTTCTACCTCTACCACACCTCGTTCATGAGTGTCCTTGTATTTGTTCCAGATCCATCATGATTGATTCATTTCATGGATCCTCAAGGATCGTTTGCCCAATTTGTGCTCCAGGTTTGGGAGGGGTGACAGGGGTGACGCTAGCGAGAATAGGCAAGTGACGCTCTAGGAGGGGTGCAAAGCTTTGGACATCGATCTCTTCTCAAAGTTAGGACGCGACCAGTAACTTCTTCCAGAAGTGGGCGATTTGATTAGTATAGTCTATAGTATAGTCTAGTAATTATAGTAGAATGATATTCATATCAAACATCCCCCCCTCAATTGACCATGCTTTTCTACTCGTACTCCTACCAGAGTGGTCGACCTCCCAGCTGTCCCAGCTTTCTCGGGGCTCCCGTGGGACGTGGAAAAGTGCCATATATCGCACATGTGATGTGGGGCTGATGTGGCATCATACGTGTTGCGATTGTGTAGGGAATTGTATGGAATTGTAAGTTCTGAGTGATTTGTGTTGTGATTGGTGGTGTTGTGCACTATAGATGTATAGTTCTTTGTGCTGTGATTGACTGTTTGACTGTTTGATGTGTACTGAAGCGAACATCTCGGTGACGTGTCATTTTGCAACATGTTGCAACTTTTGCCAAATTCACGCAAAGAGACTGGCGTTTCGGACAACAACGACCACATATCGTGTAGAAAGCTGGGCCCGTTCAAACTCATGGCCACCGGAGGCACCGTCACCGCTTGATGCTCCGCGTTTTGTCGTCCGCCGCATCAGGTCCGCCCGACGTGGCGCCCCCCTGCTTGCGCGTGTCCCTGCGGGGCGCCATGAACTGCCGTGCCGCTCGATGTGGAGCGATGAGCGATGCGGATCCGTTCGAGACACGGTCGACACGAGACGGGTCGATCACTGGCAGATGGACCACTCCATGTATGGGTAGTGTCCCGGGGGTCAATGTAGGCTTCTTTTTAATTCCAGAGATGGGAGTGTATAGTGGCACGGCTTCCAAAACATTCTGAACCACCCTCCAGTAGCATGTTTGACACGTGAATTCTGAGATGTGAATGGTGCCGGAGACATGTTTGGAGACATCAAGAGTTTCGTGACAGACATCCTGCTCGACATCCTTAGAGCTCTACTTCGCAGATGGGAGTGTTTTTGTGGCTGGGCCATCCACTAAACTAAAATTCCAAGGGGGTGAGTTGCTGGAATATTCTAGTTTTTTGGCTTGGAGAGGGCGTTCCTCTCATGGATTGGCTTGGATGTGCAGCGGTGTAGAGTTCCCCTTCAAAGTTCCCTTCGATTCTCCGGAATTTCTCAAGTGGAACTTTAGGGTAACTTTGACCGGAGTTGAGTTGATAAACACTACTCATTGAGGTAGAGCACCAAGTGTTACTGGGTGGGCACATCAGGTGCGTTGCTGCATTCCTGCCATACCATATATTGCAAATCCCAAGCAGACAACCTTGTGCCGTTTGCAAACCCCATGCTTTCGATCAGGACTGCAACCTGGATGAGTGAATCGTTTTTTGGCACGGGAGCTTCTCAACCGGGGGTTCTATTTCAGGTGGGTGCATGACCTGAAATCATCTTCAATCAGCCAGACTCAATCTACCTACCCTCCCGCAAACATGCTGTGGTGGATCCATCCCGCACATTGGAGAGTAAACTGAGTAAACCTGTTGTAGGAATTGGCACCGCCATCCTCGCAAAAACCCTTCCCTTCCACAGATCTGACGTCCTCTTTGGCACCCACGGATGGCATACGACCCTGACGGCATACGACCGACCCCAGACGGCGTGCGACATCTTCCACGTGCCAATGCCACTGGTGGGTGACACGTCCCATCTGTTGGCACTCAGAGACCTGGCCAGCTTTCAGAAGTATTGGACGCCTGCACCTGTTCGTGAGGTCAGGTTTGTGGGCTGAAGCACAGGAGGCGTGTTTGAAGCTGACGGGTCGAACGAAGGTCTGTGGGGGGCTTTGAGACATGCCAACGGATCATCGATCATCGATCCAAAATCGCAAGTTTGGAGGCGCCAGAGCTGGACGGACCGTCCAGCGCCGCGCCTGGCGTCAGAAAGGCGTCCTTTCCAGTGCTGTTGAAAGGGTTCAGTTCCCATAGATCCACCATTCAGTTCCCATAGATCCACCTGACTCCCATAGATCCACCTGATGGGCGAAAGAAAGGCCGGTGCCGCTTCTTTCCATTGTGGCAAAAAGCTAGGCCGTCGTGCCACTCTAGAGTGGAAAATGGCCGCCGTCGTCCAAAAAACACGCCACCAGAAAAACACCAAACGCCGCCACGTTCCATATATATGGGGAAGGATGGTGCATGTCTCCTCCACACCAGGCTCAAGGATACTCAGTTAGTTTCCTCAAGTAACAAAGCCCCCACACTCACCTCCACGATAACGTCATCGCAATCCCAAATCCCTGACCGCTCTACGATTCCTGTTGCCAAATTTACCCAACTGTACCCAACTTCTGGTACTCAGGGTCATTCTCCAAGGTCATTGTGCAAGCTTTGGCAATTGACCACCCCCAAAAGAGTCTTTGTGCTCATGTGTATGCTACACCCTGATAAGCCAAGCAAACTCAGTGTTCCATGGTTGACATATGTTGCCAAAATCTGATTGCGGGAATTTACGCCGCCATTACGCGGATTTAGGCCGCCATTTTGTCCGGCAATTTTCGCAAATTTCGCGCAACACGTATGACACGTATGAGGCTCAAGAACTAATTCCAAATGTGGTGTTGAATGCTCGTCACTCTCTCTTTCAGGGAGCTCTGAAGCACGAAAACCAATTATGAAACACTGGTTGGTGCTCTTCCGGAACGACCAGCCGTTTCGAAGCTAAAACATAGTTCAAGCACTGCACCAAATTCCACATCTTCCCAAAGGTCGCCGGTCGGCATGTTGACAAGAAGTTCACACATTGGGGTGCGTTCATCAACCTTCGGGGTTTGACACAACTCAACTATACACGAAGGGCACAAACCAATACAAATCACCCTATACCCAACTTCGAGCCAACCACGAAAAACGCCGCCGCAAAATCAAGAAACGCCGCAGCTTTACAATTTACGCCGCCGTACGGTAAAAGACAACTTCTTTGGAAAGGTGCCTCATACGAAGATCGGTATGTCTTGTTGCACACGGCGGAGCTACCTACATCCCAGCTCCACCTCTATCGAATACATGGAGTGGTTGAAGACTTGTCAATCTTCAATCACTCGGTTTTCAGTGAAATATGCAGGTGCTGTTTAACAGTTCAATCTTCTTCCCTCGACTAGTCCCCAAACCTCCAGACGAATCCCATCGAGAGATGTTTGCCGTTTGAGCCATTTGGACCTCCAAAAAGCAGAAATGTTTGGGTCGTCGGAGGTGCAGGTCACTGACTGGTGAGGGAATGAGGGAATGATCCCCGAATGCAGATCACTTAGGATCCATTCCTCATGACCTACGAGTCGCACCAGTCGGGGTAGTGTGGATCCTGTTCCTTTTTCTGACTGCGGAGTTCTACTCCTGGGCTCCAAGGAGAAGATATCGAGAACACCGGGCGAGGGCCCCCGGATGCGCCAGAGACCGAAGGCAGCGCTGAAGCGCCAGGGACGTGGGGATGACGTTGGATGGATGATTGGTCAAGTGAGTGACCCTCACAAGGGATCATCATGCAACTGATCATGGATTTGCGATTGCACCAGCAAAAAAGAGAAGGATGAGGTAGAGCTTACAGCCGGTTATGCCCCTGATCAGAGTTGCGTTGATTTTGGTAACAATTCTGGAAGTGCAAAAGCATGGAAATGCGATGCTTGTAAAGGAAAGTCGCTTCCCGAGGTAGCCAAAACTGAGGGCGAAAGAGATTTAGAAATTTAGTGATATCAACCGTTTTTGTAGGAAACCTGGAAGGCCCTTACTATGGTGGGCTAGGGAAGATTGTGAAATATTGTGTAGAAAGATTAGGACTTCCTTTTGGGGATTTTGCCATCTACTCTGAAACCACTGTACAATCATGTTGTTCACTTTGTTCATTTGCCCTTCCAAAGATCGACCGGGCCGTCCCTTTCTGATCGCGCGTGTCCCCTGGATCTACCTGTTTTTTTCCACTATGCCACTATGCAAAAATTTTGCCAATTGATTGGTTAGGCAGACATGTTGCATAGTTGGAAGATCAAATGTATCGGTGGGTCGGTGGGACACCGGCTCCTTCCACCGGGTTGAGGGGGACCTGTTCAGGTCCAGCTCCACTTCTACACGGCAGCTCCCTGAAGACGCCCAAGGAGTTTGACTCTGATGAAAGGCTCGGTCAATTTGCTAGAAGAGAGAGAGCGAGAGACAGAGAGAGACCACAAGGATCAAGCCAGGCTCCAACTACTTTGGGCAGGGTTTGCCAGGCCCTGCCCCCAGAGAGAGAGAGATCTCATGTCTACGAGCCCTGGACCTTGACCAGGGCCAGACCAAGACGAGAGAGAGCCTGGAAGGAAGAGAAGACCAAGACCGGGAAGGGGCCGACCTGGGACCGACACCGGCGCGTATAAGCACGGTGAGCTTCGACCCGAAGGGCGGGAGATGGGCGCCGTCTTTCGAAGGCAGAACGCACTTCCTGTTTGGTCCCCGGCAAAGGGACTTTCAAACAGGTCAGAAAAAAGAAGGGATTTCCAGGGTGAAGTGGGTGCTTTTCAATTCACAAGTGGGTCCATTCACAAGTGGGTCCTTTTCAATTCAAAGGATCACTAGGGCTCAGAAGGTATTTGGACCCTCGACTCTGGCGCAAGTTCTGCGGTTTGAGCTCTTTTTGGAACTCGAGCGCTTTTCTGTGGAGCAGCCGTTTGCGGTACCATGCGGTACCTCGGTTTGGGGAAACGGAAAACGCACCGCAAGACAGAGCCTTTTGGTGACTTGTCTTGGACCAGCCAACCCAAATCCGGTATGTTCCAATGGGCCCGTTGAGTAGCGGTTTGGAGGTTCAGGTTCGCGATCGGTTTCATTAGCGGCCTCAGTGAGAAAAGGCAGACGTTGGCTGGCCTGGTTGCGCCCAGAAAACCTGACTCCGTGATCGGTTCAGCTATAAAAGGCCTGGCTTTTGCTTTGGATTTGTTTCCCCTACGGGTGAATCCCCGTCTCTGGGGGTTCCTCAATCAAGCAAATCCAAGAAGGCTTTAAGCCAAGTCAACAGTGGTCCTTTCTTTTTGGCCAAGTCCTCAAGGAGTTTGGTTTGGGGCAGCAAGATCATGTTCATTGGGGTTTTTGTATGTAGGGATCGATATATACCCCATAACCGATATGTAGACTGATCTAATTCCCTTCCAGGGAGTCGAACTTGGGTCGGTCGCCCTATTTTTAGTCCACACCCACAGTATACAACGCCACGAATACAAAAACACACAGTACACACCGATTTGATTGGCCATGCCGATCTCACGCAGGTCTAAGTCCAGCAGCTCCTCTGTGAGCTCACACCGCAAGAGCTTCGCTGGAGTGCTGCCCTTGGAGGTGGGGAAGCAGAGCTTGGTGGCCGGACGTATCACCGGCGGGTCATGGTCATGCGGGTCATGGATCCTTTGATGAATCCAACGGAGGCGATTGGGAATGTATTTATATGTACTCACTGAAAGACCACCATCTCTTGGCGTTCTCATATTAAAGCCTATAGCCATGTTTACTGATCTGCTTTCAGTCCCAAGTTGTCCCACGAAGTTCCCGCCTCCTCAGTAGCTCAGTTTGGAACTGTTCGCGCTTCCAAGGCGTCCGAGCAGCCTGGCTCGCTTTTCTCGCTCGGCTTCATCGCGTCCCAAAATCTCGGAGACCCGATTTGGCTCCGTTCCAAACGGGAAAATCCCTTCCACATCCTTCCTCCCATCCCCCCATCCGGTCGTCTGCGAACATGCAGAAGGCTCCAAAACCACCGAACGTTCGCGGGGCTGGGCGGGGCTGTTCGCGCGAGAGTTCCACGCACGCGAGAGTGCCGAACAGCCAGGACTTGGTGATCATGGTAGCGCCCAACACCTGGAGCGTGGAGCAATTCCACGCCAGTCTTCGCTGCGAGGCGCCGGAGCCGGTGGAGCCGTGGAGCGGGGTGGTCGGTCGAAGTGCGAGGGCGTGGCTTCGGAGAGGCTTGATGAATCAATGATGCACAAGAACCAACGAACCAACGAACATTGTTGTGTTTTTTTTCTGCTTATAGTCTTTTTACACCATCTTTGTAACTATACCAAATATATTTCACATGTCTTGTTCAAGAAGGCCTTTGCTAACCATCATCATCCATAGTTGCTGGTATAGATTGGTATAGGATATAATATCGGGTAGATAATCCAATGTATTTGCTGTGAAAGGATGTGAAAGGGGAATTCTTTTGGATTTGCTGACTTGTTCCAAGGGAGCAGGGTGTTTCACCTCAACCATTGAGCTTTGTTTGACCCGCTTGGGAAGGCTTGTCACGTTCCATCCTTGCAAACGCATGGATGCCACGTGTCATCACCGGAAGCATCGGATGTTCTTCCGGCCGTATCAGCCAGGACCTTCAAACTGGCCGTTTGATTTTTGGTCCTTCGATATCATGTTTGGGGCCTCTCATTTATCAAAGAGCCACTTAGCTCTATATATCAAAGGCTCGATATAGTCACAGTTCCCCCCATCCCCTTCTATTCTCTCCCGACCCACCTTTCTTCAACTGCTGATTTGGCGGCGGCCTGCAGCCCTCTTAGCTGCCAGCGCTGGATCAGGACGGGATCGCTCGGTCCGCTCGGTGTTTGCAAGGGAATCGTTGCAGGTGATTGTTTTTGGCCTGTGAACTGAGAACATCATATTCATTCCATCCTTCTCAGCCAGCGACAGCAAACGTAGCTGGCGTATTTAAGGAGCACTTGTCGCCCCAACAATGGCCCAGCAGTGGACAAGAGACAAAGTTTTTTCACTCGCCCAACCTCATGAGATGTGCATGGGGTTCTGTAACAAAGTGGAGGCTTTGGCATGCTTTGGCTAAGTGGTGGTCAAGTGGCCAGGTCCTCATCCCCATAGCAACTCGCCCACATCGGAGATATGAGCTTCACATTATCCCAGGCTATGTGAGTCAACCTTGATCGTGTTAACACATGGGTGGAGGCAAGGACTGTGCATGCGTTGTAGCAACTGCTGCGCTAAGAAACTTGTGTAATTTTGGACGTAGTTTCCACAATGTCTCACCTGAAGATATCGCTTCAGATGCCAAACCTAGGTTGCCATGTGGCACTCTTAACATGTCACATCGGTTAAAAAAAGGTAAGCCATGAAACTGTTGTATGCAGATGCGAAGAGAAAGGTGGCCGTTTGCAGGGCCCTTTGGTGAAGGTCATCAAGAATCACCCCATTCTTGATGCTCATGGAATCCCGAATTGCAACAGCGTTCACAAACACTGCTGCGCGAAGCCTCAGCACCCCACGCAAACAAAGTGACGCATTCAATGGCAGCCTGAAAGCCCCTCCACCAGTCCAAGGAGCTGTGCATGCTCACATTGTGGGTGAGCTTCTGCAAGAGCTAGGCATATACCCATCAACCAGCGAGCCAAGATAACTGATTCCTGGGCAGAATGTCGGAGAATCACAGGTATTGACCACAGCTCACACACGACACAGACCAATGTAATGCAGTTGGGAGTCTGCACCGTTAAAGTGACGCTGCGCCAAAGATGGAAATGTTTTGGAATTTGGTCGCATTTGTTTCCTAAGAACAAACTGCATGGCCCATGGCCCCCTTCACAAACACTCATGCAATCTCATACGTGCAGCAAGACTCTCACAGAAGACTTGCCCTCTGCTGCCTCAAATTGCCCAAATCTAGAGCATGCTCATGCTTGCCATTCTGTCCCTGACTTGGCAGCTGAGTCACGTATCCGATGTTGGCGGCACAACTGAGTAAACTCAGCGTAAGCAGCTCTCAGTCTATCGTCCACTGAAGTTCCTGACGAGGGCTGAACAAATCGAAACATTTTTGACTGATCATAACCGGGTCACCTTGAAATACTTCTGCCGTCTTGGTGATTTCAATCAAAGCCTTGCGCATCACACAAGCTACCGTGTTCTGACATGCAACACCTCTAGCAACAAACTTCGATGTCAGACTAGTTACTAAAGAAGCAACCTAGGAACGGAGGCCGCTGCGTCTGGAACAAGTGTCAGGTCGAACACATGTAGGACATCGTAGATGAGCTGTGAGGGATGAAACCCGGCGACTTGAATCCAGCCATTTGGACGACTCACATTTGTGATGAAGTCACTTGAGCTGATCATGGTCGATCGATGGGCCGCGTGCGGCCCCACATGAGTGTAAAGACATGGGTTGTCACGCTCCCTGCTCGCAGCACACGTCCAGCATATCTGAGGTGAAGACCATCCAACTCGAGTCCTGTACGCTTTCTGCAAATACTTTTCATCCCCCCGATGACAAACTATGATGGCTCTCCATCCAGAAGCTATAGGAAGCCCTCCCTTTGAAGCTCGTTCCGGCATGGGACGGTTCCATGGATCACGATCATTCCAAACTCCTTGCGCCAACTCTTGGAAACTCCAAGCTGTCCACATGTCCATCGTGAGTTGGGTCTCTGTACATGACCGACTGTTGTCCAATACATACAGCACCATGCGGCTGTCCCAGGGACTGGAGGCACCTGTTGTGAGGAGGGACGCGAAGCTTGTCACCTGGAAGCTTCGTCGGCGATGCGCCTCTGCATCGTCTCCGTGGACAATGACCGGAACGCAGGAATCCAAGTCCACAGCCTTCGATTCGACCGCGCACAGCGCACGAACAAATACCTGCAGACACCGTCACTCAAAAGCACCACACGCATGGACAAAGTTGCTGCCAAATATCAGGGTCTGTTAAGACTGGATGTTGTTGGAAGAATTCCGTGGGTCGAATGTACTCCCAGTACTGGCGGAGCACCTCCAAAACAAAGTTGTTCAATTGTTTGTTCACAGTACTGCATGCGTGCACATATGCTGTAACAAAACCGTGCATGTTGCAATAGCACACCAGCACCCCTGGTTCACCAAGAAAACGCTGTTGGAAGAGTCCTTTGTCGAAGTGAAAAATACTTGAGAACCTTGCAGAGACACAGGCAATTTAAGAGGTTTCAATCTTGTGCACAGGTACAACGCCCCTCCTACCCAGGTCTTGCGAGCCAAGTTGCACTTCAGAAGGCAAAAACATGTGCCAGGTGCATAGGAAGTGAGGCGGAGTCTTTGATTCATCTTTCATAACAATTTGCACCCTAGGGTGAGTAGGCAGGGAACCACAGCACAACATGGGTCTCGACCTAGTCCCCTAAAAGCTGGCACGCAATCAAGGGACTCATGTATAGCAGGAAGCATCTTCCTCCAGTACTGCCTTCGAAGCCAGGACCAAAATGCTCGGGGAGCATTCTTGGGACTGTGCTCCACCCGAAGAAGATCTTGTAGGTTCTGCCTTGTTGAGCAGCAATTTGCTCAAAGGCATGCCCATTGCAAGATGTATACTACCAAGAAAAACTGCCAAGATACGGGACCAATCGACGAGGAAATCTTTTCTTGACAGCCCCCAAGAGCTTCATGATTGATGTTACACTCACCTGGGCAGGCACCGGAGCCACCCCAGCGACAACCCTACAATTTGAACACAATACGCACAATGCTGCAGGACCTTCAAAGTGACCTTTTAAGATCCTAGAGGTCACTTAGTCCCTAAAGAGGTCACTTAGAGACTCCAAAAAGATCACTTTGAAGTTCCTGGATGGGCTCGATAGCTTTTGTATGTCCAGTTGAGTCACATCCTTTCCAATCTCTAAGAACTCCTCCACAAGGTCCATAGCCACAACACTAGTTACTAGTTTGCGCAAGCACACCTTAAAGGTAGCATGTCCTGTATCGAGTTCGCACGGTGCTTTCCAAAACAATAGTTGCACATGCACGAAGGTATGTTTGTATACACAGAGGCTTCCAAACATGCATGTATCATGAACCCCGTTGCGGAGGAACCCTCAGCTGGGCGCCCACCTCTGCGAGACAGACGCATGATTGCAAATCAGTGGGAGATAGCAGGCTGATGCGTTCACCCTTTGCTCATACATTCGATAGGGCTCAACACTTTTGATGCCCGTACTGCACGACCAAGTGATCGTGATCCAAAAGCTAGCTAGCTCATGAAGCACTAATTGCCTCAGGCTGCCTCTACCTGGTACCACTCTGTGGTTTCGAACACACAAAAACGAAAGTTCATTGGTGGGTATGTTGCAACCAAAGAACGGGTATGTTTTGGGTCCCATGGATTCTTGCATAGTTGGCACTTTCATTGTTTGGGCGCGAAACCATTCTATGAGTGGTCAACCCCAGCTAAGTGGCAGCAGGTCCCCGAGTCCCCGATTGATGGCTGTTTAGAAATGACGATTTCGTACGGATAAAATTGTCACATCGAATCTTAAGACAGGTCAGTCCGACAAACAAATATCCTCGGAGCCTGACCCACCACTACCGCCCTCACCCAAATCCTTTGCCTTCTTGGGCTTCGGGCCCTTTGCAAGGGAAATGCGCCTTTTGGCATCCCTGATATCATCCTGAATAACCTTAAGTACGGGCTTCCTCGCATCTACAAAAGCATTCAGCTGATCAGCATCGGTCACAGCTGAGAGTGCAAGCGCACCCTTCTCAGCAATCTCAGGCAACTCTTTCTCGAAGGTCACCAAGTGCTTCTCGAGGACACGAGCCTTGGCATGTGGGCGGGTGGCTGGTGTCCTTAAGAATTTGGGTTGGTGAAACACAGCTCTCACTGTGAATGCAAACCCGGGAACCAGTTCACCAGAATTGCGCACATTGTACTCGGCCAGCTCAGTCATGCAGCTTTGAAGTGAATCGCCCAAGGTTTTGAACCTGGGCCACTGCTGCAGTTAGACAGGACAACCCCCCAACCCACATACCCACGATGAATCGAAAAAACTTATAGATTTATACAGCTAAACTGCTTGTTGCACAACGTCTTTGCTTCCTTGAGTGCCAATTGTTCTGCAGTTTTTTCTTTCACTGGCTTTGGCTTCTTGG